CAAGCTGCCACAAATTAACATTAACATTTGATTATTTAATGTAAATGTAGACAGATTAACATTTGATTATTTAATGTAAATGTAGACCTCTATTTACACATCTTGACAAATAATCTATTAATTATTTGTTCATGTTTTTGCAGTACCCAATCTAAAGTGAAAACTATACATCATTTGCAAATGTTTATAAATGTTTACTAATCATTAATAACTTTATGAGCAGTCATCTCAATGGCAAAAAGTGTCCCAAAAGACCTGAATTTACCCTATTCACACATCTTTACTAATCATTTATTAATCATTTGTTCATGTTTTTGCAGTAGCCAAGCTAAAGATGAAACTATTCATCATCTGTAAATGTTTATAAATGATTACTAATCATTTATTATCTTTATGGGCATTGGACTTTTAGCTAATGTAATAAGGTTTGTGTAAAGGGTGGCGGGTTAGCTAAATTCTTGCTAAAGACACAACAGATTGTAATTTTGGTGCAAAAAAATTTTTTTATCACCTCAACACTCACATTGGTATACTACTCTTCAGTATATCATTAAACAGGATATTCCTTGAATCATAAATAAACGGGGGAAAACAAATAACTTTTTTAAAGAAAATACTCACATATATTTATCTAAACAATGTAATATAAACAGGTTGAACCATCCCTTAAACCTACCTCAAACCACCAAACCTGTCCCTAACCTTACTTGTATCACACCTCAATAGGAGCTAATGTGTTGTGCATTAACACAAGCTTTTAATCATTTTGTAACATCTGTTAAAATCATAATAAGTGCTTGGTCATATGGAATTGAACGTTTAATGACATTTGTAAGTATTTTAACTTACATGAAATAATGATCTGTTTGAACATTATCTAATATTTAATAAGTTTGTTAGCAAACATTAACAAGCACATTGTCACACATTTCTAACTCTTTGAATATACATTAACTAATTATCTATTAAGCATTATATAATGTTTGTTAATGATTTATCAATGAAAATTATTATAAAGTGTTACCACACACATTGCATTTGGGACTTCCCAACAGAGATTATTTATATAAGAACAGTACGCTTTGTGTTTCCTGTACACAATCATTGCTTGGGATTATCAAAATTTGAATGTGATTCTTTTAATACTATGTTGCCCATTAATATTTTCAGTCTGTGATGCTCTACAAAGATCAGGACACATAACCATGATATTGACTAGTTGATTAGTCATGGACTACACCGACTGCTGATGTCCCTTGAGGTTGAAGGGTCTAGAGAAGACTTATGGTGCATTGTGTGTGTGTGTGTGTGTGTGTGTGTGTGTGTGGGGGGCGGGGAGCTTGGAATTGGTGCGGTGAGTCATGACCCTTGGACAGGAGATAAAGACACAATGACTCTATTCTAAACCTTAGTGAGTGACTTACTAGACAGCACTGTTAAGCAACTAGGCACAATCCTGAGGAGGCTGGTGTTAACAGTTAAATGTAAATTATGTCTCCGAGTTTCTGCCTGTGTAGACATTCAGAATAAGTCAAGTATTTGGATCCATTTTGCTTGGAATGCTGCCTATGTACAATATGCAGTGCAAAGGCAATGCATTGCAAATGCTATACATCTGTTGTAATGAGCCAGTGTGTTACTATAAACAGCCAAATGGAAAAAGATACATTATGAAATGTGAACATTAGTTTTGTGGCCAGTGCAATAAATGCAGCGGAAAATGTACGTGTGTGCATGCAAGAGGATGCATAATCTGAAACCATTTGTCTTTCAAAGACACATCCCGATAGCATGCTTCATTAGGAGGACAGGGATACTTGTTTTCAGCAGGCATTTTGAATAAACAGTTTGAAGGACTTCACATGTCTCCTCACAAGAGCAGATACAATTACTTGCTCAAACCCCCAGAGAACTATCTTCCTGTGAGAGTGTTGTGTTTGGGGGTGAGGTGTTTGTAGGGGTGGGTGGAAAGGCAGAAGCGGTAGAACGAGAAGAGAGAGAGAGGAATAAGGACAGAAGAGGACAGTGAATACCGAAAGCTGGATGATCGACTCTGACATTTGCCGCGATGCGCTTTAGGTCTCTGGGCCATGTACAATCATGGTGGCGAAAGATGGCTTCAAGTGCATGACACTGCGATTACATTATTTCAGTCCCAAATGCAGCCGTTGGGATGGAGTCTTTTCTAATGGTCCTTATCATTCCAACACCAGTGGCCTCACGGTCATTTGGAGCAGTCAGGCATGTGGAAATGCATCGTTCCTGCTGCAGTGCAGAGAATGTCCTGATTAGCAGAATGAAGGTGCGACGTGTTTTGACGAGTAGCCTGTAATGAGAGCGCTAGTTGCTCGGGGGCGAGAAGGTTAAGATGGAGGGGCTGAGGAAGGATCTTTCAGCCATTCAGAGAGCCGTTAACATTGCTTAGCACTGTTCCCTGAGCTGCAATGTGCACAGCTGCATGCACCGCGCCCACCAGAGTAAACATGTTATCAAAATGTAACGTGACACGCTAAGACTCTCTGCGTAATGAAAAGCAATGAGGCAATGCTTGCGCTTCAAAACAGGGCTCATAGTGACTCCAAGCACTGAGATTTGTCTCAATCTCATGGAATTACTTTAAGGAATGAAGCAACACCAGAGTACAAACACTGTACTTCACACTGATAAAAAGAATTGTTCAGAAATGTTCAAGAAGGGCCCTGGAGGTATTCACTCATGCCAGCTGTCCCATTAATGTTGCAAACCACGCTCTTTGGATATCAAAGAGTTAGTTCACTTAAAAATAAAATTACTCAACCTCATGTTGTTCCAAACCCATAAGACGTATGCTCAATTACAAAACACAAATTAAGACTTTTAATAAAACCCAAGAAATTTCTGTCATCAATTGAAAGTTCATTCAGCCAAAACTTTGAAGTTTCAAAAAGTTCATAAAGACATCATATATGTAATATTGCAGGGTCTCATGTTTCTTAAGATTTATAGTCATAGCCAATTGTTTGCAAAGTAAATTAAGAAATGAGTCATGCATGTGAAACAGTTTTTTATTCTTTATTTATAGCGTAGAGTTCTCTTGCAGTAAACTAGTTGCATTAATGTTGTCCTTTTTCGAAAACATATTGTTCAATATCGTCCAACTGATTATGTTGTCCTTTTTCACCAATTAAATTGCAATTAATGGTCTTAAGAGTAGTTCAAGGCTGTTAAATGAAGTAGTACAATTTTTGTAATACTTAGATTATGCTTTTGGGAAAACATTAAACACTATTTGTGTGCACTTAGTGTTTTGGAAAACCCAAACTTAGCCTGTAGACCAAGCTATACTGAGAGTTATGGTTTGATAAGAGAGATCTTCAGGAAGAGAAAGGTGCCAGGCCTCAAACAAGTAAGCTTAGGGAAACATCCAGATTGTTGGGGTAGACAGGCCAACACCAACAGGATTTAGTTGGAGTTGAGAGCTGACAGAGGCATCTGACATAATTTATGTATTTGGTTTGAGTTTGATCAAAGCCTGTCCTAATAAGTCCAGGACAACTGATGGAAGGGAAGCAGCCAGCTCCTCTCCCTCAGGAGAAAGGCTGTGTCAGAACTGGACCAAATTAAGAGTAAACTGTGGGAAATGTTGAAGACCAACAGAGCCGGTGAGGAGACGGGCGGCATAACTAGCCTCTACACAGTATAATCGTGACTCCTCTGCAGGCCAGTTTTCGCACATATGTGCCAGAGTAATGCAGCTCTATGGATGACCAGCTTTTGAGCAATAGAGAAGACAAGGACTCACTAGCCTGATTAGACTTTTGATTACTAGCATAGAATCTGGTCCACTTAGTAGCTTATTCTAATCAAGCACCTTTGATGCAGACAGTAAGAGACCATGCTTTGTTTTTATGTTACATTTGTTGGAGGATATGAAATCCGATACCAATAAACTGACTGATCTGTTGGCGTCCACAGACCTCTAGAGGAGCAGGGGAGTAGTGGCGTTACGAGGGCACAATCGCGGTCCGGGGTGAGAAACGGTCTCTGCCTGTGAATAATTTTGCACATTCGGGTTGGCTGACATGTCTATGAAGGGCGGGACTTTAGAGAAAGGTTGTGGTTGAAGGGATGAGCTGTCTAATTCAGAGGTTGAGTCTGGTGGGAGTCAGCCAAAGGGCTGAAACTGTTTAAAACACCTATATTTAGAATTTTTTTAAATTGACTTTTTAGAGGTACTTTTACAAAATTACCAGTCATACCATTGTTGAAGTAAGCAGTGCAGAGGTGTTAGCCTAATGTTTTGTAGGAGTCCACTTGTGTCTACATGTGGTAACTAGGCATTTTTCACATAATTTCATCAGCCGGTTGTGAATTATGAACTTGCTGGAAAAAAAAGAAATCAATATTGCTGGTCAACCAGTTTGGATGCCTCTTCTCACATTCTGTTAATTTAGCCACAGATTCCATGATTTATTTGTAAAATTCTAAAACTTTTGTTGCAATCAGCATTTTTTTAAATATCTTTTAAGAGTTAAAATATACGAAATTAACCATGTTGTTGCCCCCGGCTAAATATTGTAAATAACTCAGACGAGAGGTTCTCTGCAAACCGTTACATTTCTGTGTCAGTAATTGGATGTTATCGATTCATTGAGATGTGCATAGTTATGCTTCATTTGCTTCAAGTGTTTTGGGAGAATAAGGAACAACCAATCAGACGTGAAGTTTTGTATTTTGTTTAAGACAAGAGTGTGTTGATGGGTTCTAACTGTCACACGCATTGCAGCACTTTCATCTGCTGGAAAAAAAATGCAATTATTTCTCCACTCATATTCATGGAGTCAAAACAAATGTCCATGTTTGTAGAGATTTTCCTATTATGGCGATTATTCACTTGCCAACATCATTGGATTCCATTTGGTAGGATTGGTTTAGAATAATGCTTTATGCGTTTTTCGCCACTTTTTACTGTTTACTGTGTCATAAACAAACTAAGCAAACTTATCTTGCTCTGATTCCAGTTTGTTCACAGTTCTCCAGAGGGGTGTATGCCATCTTCGGCTTCTATGACAAGAAGTCCATGAACACGCTGACCTCCTTCTGTGGGGCCCTCCACACCTCCTTCGTCACTCCCAGCTACCCCATCGACTCCGACGTGCAGTTTGTCATCCAGATGCGCCCTCCATTGAAGGGCGCCGTCCTGAGTCTCCTGTCTCACTATAAGTGGAACAAGTTTGTCTACCTCTATGACACAGACAGAGGTAAGTCCTCTTAGTTACCTGTGAAACACCAAGTGAAATGTTCGGCCTAGATGAGATAAACAGTTAGTGCTGATTTTAATTGTTTTTGCTGGCTTTATAGCACATAAGGAGAAGGGCATGATGGAGGATGGATGCCCCATTTGAGTCCTTGGGGTCTGGATAGAGCGCCTGCAGTACTGGTGCAAAGGTCCAGATATCTCTGGGTACATGATGAGTTTAGAAATGATGTGGCCCAGTTTTGAGCGGCATAGACGAATTTGGGGCCCTAAAATACTTTACTTATTAAATAGCTCACCTTACTTTCCTAATACAGTTTATCTGCATTAGACTTGCACAGGGTTATTGATTTCAAACAGTTCATAAAAGTCCATGTTTCCTTCATGGAAGACAAAAAAGAGACATGTTCTGAAGAAGGTTCACACCTCTGTCTCAGAGGATATTACAAGGTGGCAATTTCGTATATGAATTCATACAATGTGAATTGTAAAAAATTCAACATTAGAAAAAAGAAAGCATGAAGGTGCACCCCTATCCCCACCCCTAAACATAGCCATCACTGGGGTGTGAGCAGATAAGATTTGTATGAATTCAACAAAACGTAAAATAGTTTCGGATTGCCATTAGATTGTGTTGGTCAAGTTCAAAAGAAAGAAAGAAAAGAAAAGAAAAGAAAAGAAAAGAAATACCACCATAAAGATAGTCAATACAACTTGTACCCTGTATAGCACAAGTTTTCTGAAGCCATACAATAGGTTTATGTGAGGAACAGACAAAAACAAATAGATTATTCATAAAAAAAAATAAATAAATAAATAAATAGTTCATGTTGTAATGTTGAAATACAACTGAGATTTCAGAGATACAGCAAGATTATCAGTGACTAATGGCTGCAAGTCGAAGTCGAACACGCCTAATGTCTGACCAGATGCAATGTGATAAGATTCCAGCAAATCACAAATGACAGCCAATCAGAAGAGCGTGTGGGCAGGCTCTCTCTGCAAGTGCACTGCTGTCTTGCACTCACATTGAAATGGACGTACTTGATCCAATTGAAAAAAAAAACATTATTCAAAATACATTTTCATTGACTGATACAGTCTTTTTCATGAAATATATTGTTTGTTTAAATGCCATTCAAAGCTGTTTTCAAGATCTGAGGCAAATCATCCATCGTAGATAATCAAAAGCATGCACAATTATATACAAACTCAAATTAAACTATTTTAATATTACACAAAACAATCAATCCCTGACCTGTCGGCCACAACATCGCTGAAATAGCATTTCAGAAATTGAATCTTCCTTTGCTCGTCGCGTATCGCTGGCATGACTGGTTATGACAAAAACTCTGATTAAAATAGCTACAAAAAGAGGTGCTCTACCAACAGAAAAGGAGGTGCAACCAAAAAGAAAAAAAACTCTGATTAACAAATCTTGTGTTATAGGTGCTGCGTCATGTCTGGTTAGAGTCATGTGGACTACTATCATAGTGCTTTACTGTGATTTTATTGTCATTTTTGAGGTTTGACAGCACCTGTCACCTATTCACTTTAATTGTATAAAACAAAGCAGTGTGAATATCCCACCAAACGTCTCCTTTTGTATTGCACTGAAGAAAAAAAAAATCCACACGCGTTTAGAACAGCATTAGGGTGAGTAAATAATGACATAATTTGAATTTCTTATAAGTACACGGACGATATTAGGAGTGGCAGTAAAACAATAGGATCCTAATATGTCTTTGTTACCAAATTAAAATTCAGGGCCATAGCAGTGCCGATGCCTCATCACCCCCCTCCCCCGAGCGTACCTGTTCTTGGGCCATGGTTTGTGTTTACTAATCATGAAGAGGTCACAATCTCCATTTGACCCAGAAGACACCTGGCCAATGATTCTGCTCTTCCTGTACTTTATATATGGCAATGCAGTCAACTCCTCTGCGGCAGTCACAACATCTGTGCTGTCGTTTCGGTGTTCCACCATTCGCCTTTCTGCACCGTGTCCTATTTAACCATTCATTTACTAGCAAGGAAATCATCATTTCCCATTGCTCATCTCAGATGGATTGAGCAATTAATTAAACTCAAGTGCTTTCTGTTGAGGAATATCTGTGATGAGTCAAAGCGTCTCATGGCGGAACACAAGCTTGAGGCGGTGACACTGGCATTTCGGGTCCCATTAAAGCCCACTAGCATCCTGCGGTTGGGTTCACAATGGTTTTTCCTGCAAAATGCATCCCTAATTAGATGAGACACAGCGCTAGCTCAGAGAGCTCATTGAGTCCGCCCTCCCATCCCTATGTGTCCTTCATAGCAGCTTCCGCCTGGATTTGTTTCACTGCGATTTAAAGGTCATTTCCTTTAAGTTGCCAAGGAGCTTCTCAGTTCAGTAAAAGACCATACAAAGAGCAGTTTTAGCATATCTCTCAAACTCCAGGACATGTAACCAAGGACATTATGTAAATTGATTGGCATTTTAATCAAATTGCATTAATTGCATACATGATGTGATGTAGGACTGTCACAATACCAGATTTTCACTACACAGTTATTGTCGCCAGAAGAATTCACAGTAATGACACTATCATGAGATCGATAGAAATTCAAACTTTAACTATGTATATTTTTTTGTTTTTTTCTCTTTTGTTCAGTGAATCACATTCAGATTAGAGGTGCGTTCCACTTCACTTTTAGACACACACTTGTGAACTTCCCTAAGCCCTTCCCCTTGGAAGACAATTAAACAATAGATCAGCTCCATAGCGGATTCCAAGTGGTCAAGGGCTTAGGACGTTCCAATTCAGCCCATTGCAAGGGTTTCGCCAGTAGTAAGCACTCATGCAACAAAAGCAATGATGTACATCCAAGTCAACAATACAAAGTTAGAGAGGGAAGGACATAAAAAAGGAAGTGGAACACACCCTTTTAGTGTATAGAAGCGAAGAGAGAGAGTTTGTAGCCATAATTGTGCAAAAGCATACAAAAACAACTACTGTTGATCGGTGCTTCCTGCAGAATGGGGTATCTATCACCTGTCTTTTTACAGAATCCATAAATCTCCCACACTGGGGAGCCACAATAGGAGATATGCACTGCGTTTCCTTCATTTATATGTATTCTGATGGGTGGCCTCCTACTGTGTTGGGCTGTCAACCAGATACTGCCAGATACTACAATATTGCTGCCTGATTATTAACGACATTGCACTACATATATAGACACAATATAACAATATTTGCTGAAAAAGTCCCAAAATTAAGATTACAAGACAGTATGGTATTATAAGAAACGAGTGAAGTTTTGAATTGATAGACAGGTGTCTGTCAAGTTTGGGTGGTACTTCAGGGTTGGATTTATCTAATGGCTTATGAAGGAATTTATATGCGGGTTAAGGGGCATTATTTAAAGCGTTTATAGTTTTAATAATGAACTTAATAATGAAAACTAAATTAATGTGTCATAATGACAGCCTAAATTATTACTAATTACAGCAGGTACCTGCATCTAATGCAAGACAACCAAACTCATAGCATAGCAATTATGTTGCATTAAAACACTATAGCTTCTCGCTCAGATTATTGGCTTAGATTTAAGCTAAGCTTCATACCCAGCCAGCATCCCTCCCTTAAAGGCAACAGTGAAATGTAATCCTTATTACTGGAACCCCAGGAGAGGATTAACGGAGTTTATTAAAGCACTTCATCAGGAACCTTGAGTCAAGTTGACACTTGGCACATCACATGGACACATACATCAAATGACATGACCCTGATGTGACATGGATGGGTACGCAACTGAGATGCTGGCCAAAAATGTTTATTAGTTTTGGCATGGGTCGCTATTTGATTCCATCTAAAGGATTATTTTTTCATTAGCTGTTTTAAGTACAGTTTTTTTTTTTAGTTCCAAGATCAAATAACAGCCAAGTAAGAAATGTTTATGGATCAATAGGGTAAGGTTAGGGTTGGGGCCTATCACATTCCTTTGATTGTTGGTGTTAGTTTAGGACAGAATGTGGGATAGACTTAGCACTATGTTTGTTTGACAGGATCCAGGAACATGTCTTTGAAGAGGCAAGGAAGGCAGTGCCTCCTAAAAAGAAAACAATCAGCTGTACAAAAACAACATTTATTTTGCAAAATATGTGATTAGATAAACCCAGGCTCATTGGAAATACGTGCTTGTGGCTACATTTCTGCAACACTGATACTGCGTACCTTATTGCACTTTCGCTGCAGTTTCAAAGTGAAATGTCCAGTGAGTGGGGCTAAAACTCGCGGTCAATATGCAACAATGACACGTTTTTATTACGCTGGTACAGGCACGTATTGCTGCGTTTTTATTACTTTGGTTCAGGTATGTATTGCAGCAGTTCAGACTTTGAATGTTCAGGGAGTGTCACTAAAAGGTTAATGCTCCATCGTGTTTGGAAGTAACAAACCCCCTACACCAAACACAACCCTAAACCTACCTGATAGTGTTAACAAATGCAAATCTCATAGCATGTTAAAATTGTTTTGAAGTCATAACATAATGTTGTAAGAAAATTAGGCTTTCTTAATTAAAACTCTGGCCCTGTAAATCAAAATTTAGATGAAAAGGACTAAAAGTTGACAATGAGCCTGGGTAGGATTAGATAGTATGAGCACGTGTAGTGTGAAGTGAATGTGAGGGAGGAACAACCTGACACAGGTGAAAAGTCATGTGACAGCAAGTAGTGCATCCATCATGCTATGTTTGGCTCATTAGGCTCTGGAATATTGGTTCATTGGTCACACTTGGTCTGCAAATCATTCTGAATGGGTCAAACTGGTGGAAATGGAAAGACTACTTACAAAGTAAACAGTTCACCCACTCAGATATCACTGCTTTCACTGAAGCTGAACTTAAAATTACTTTAAATTATGATCTGTTTTAGCTAATAATTAAATAGTATGTTAATATAAACCAAAAAGTATATTACATTTAAAAAAAGAAAAAAAATTCACTAGATTTGACTAT